TGGTGGCTTGATTTTATTTGTTGATGAAGGTTAGTAGTTCAAAAATTTCGCACTTTTTCCATTGTCTCAAAGCATCACATGGATTGGAAATAGATTGCTTTGTGCTAGCCATATTCGAGACGGTCTTTCACACCGATGTTCTGATTGATGTGAAGTATGGTTCGTGAATTCATCCCTCGACAGCAGCTCATAGTTGAAGTAGATGCATCTCGTGTAGAGTCGCGTTCTTTCCCGGCAACATCGGATTCTTCTCACGGTAAAAGACGAGATGCACTCGAACTTGGCTTAAGTGGTAGCAAATTGTCAAAAATAACCAACTTGCTAGTAAAATTTTGATCCACTGGGCGTTCTACGTTAGCAGCGGCGATGCCACCGAAGCTGTCAGCAAAGGGAGCGAAGGAAGCTGTTAACCCGCAAAAAACTCTCAGTGGCGGCAAGAAACATCGTGGACGAAGGAAGGATTCTTCCCCGGGCGTACATCTACTGTTTGTTGAAGCGGCTTCATCCGGATATCGACATTTCTTCAAAGACGCGTCAGTGGGTGGATTCGTTCATGAATGAGATTGTCGAACAGTTAACCGATGAAACAACGCACAAGCTCTTATAACTAATGTTCGAGAATTTCCAGTTTAATTCAATAGGTTTGGGGAAAGCAAGGTCATGTGATATTTCGATTAACTATAATTCATGTCGTTCTCCGGCTATGCAGCAAGCAACTTTTCTAGTTTCTCTGACGGATGTTGCGTTGCCCAATGGCCAGCTACTTGGTGATCCTGACATTTGTTTTGTCTGCTAAAGGTTTTGTCCACAATGAAAATGATGGAGTTTACAGATTTTACAAATTTTTGCAAATTTTGAAGTTTTAAAAGACGTTTGTTTTTGCACATTTTTCCAAAGTTTTTCCACAAAAAATGATGTTTTCTAGGGTTTTTTTTTTTCCTTTGGATTTCTTTTATTGTGTTTTGATATAAAGCTTTGAAGCATTGAAAATGTTATGTTTAGAAAACCGCTCGGGCGAACTTATTTCCTTTCACAACACGGAGGAATTAGCATATGCATTTGGCCGGAGTGGAGCGGTGAAGAAGTATCGTTCTCGTTCGAAATCTGGCGCATTCATTGCTCATGCATTCCCGCTAAGCGATTATATTTTCTGTTCGTGACCCTTGTGGTCCCTGTTTTTTCTTCACTCATGATTGGGTTGTTTTTTGACCACCGTTTCTCTCTAGGCTATGATTTTGCTACACTATGACTGCTTTGCTGTATTTAAACCAGTTGTTGTAATTCATATTGTTTTCTAGCTCCGCCTCTCGAACAACTTTCCCATATTTTTTCATTAGATAATCAGCCAGCTGGTAGTCTTGGTGTTGGCCTTATTAAAGGTTAAAAAAGGAAATATCAGGAGGAAAAGGAAACATGCAAGAAGAGGAAAGGATATTAAAAAAATTGGCCAACGCACGGGCTGCCCGTGCGAAGATGCGTTTTTTGCATGGTTCCCCGTAGTTTTGGTTGCTACCGGCACCGGTTTTTTCGGCAAATGCTTTTAGCTAAACAAATTAAGACTAGCCGTCAGAACTTTCAGGAAACATCCCCTTAAAATTTCAGCTTTCTAGCTTGCGTGGCTCCCCAAGATTTCAGCGTTCTAGCTT